CTGCAGACTGTCTGGTGGACTTGAACTGCAGACCTTGTGGTTAGCAGTCCAGGGCTTAAATTACACTGCAACTATTAAAGAAACTGAATTCCTAGTTCAAAACCCTTCTACAAAGAAAACTCCAGGGCCAGCTGGCTTCACTAGTGAATTCTACCAAACATTTAAGAAAAAAATTTTTTCAAATTCTATACAAATTCTTCCAGAAATGAGAAGTAAACACTTTCCAGATCATTAGTTGAATCCAGTACTACTCAGACAGCAAAACCAGACAAACAGATTATAAGAAAACTACAGTCCAATATTCCTCATGAACACAAACGCAAAAATCCTTTAAATTTCTTTAGCAAATTGAACCCAGCAATACACATAAAAAAGAATAATTACTCTTAACCGAGTGGGATTTTCCCCAGGGTACGTGGTTGGATCAACATTCAAATATCAATCAAAGTATTTCACCATAATAACAAAAGAGAAAATGTAAAATTATCTCAATAGACAGATCAAAAGCATTTTTCAAAATCCAAAATGTATAAGCAAATATGCAAGTTGACAACAGCAGAAATTTCATAAGAAATATAATTAAGTGCCAAAAAAATAATGCTCACCATTGATATTATGTGAGGAGATGTCAAATCCTAGAAAGTCATCAACTATGAAACCAATTTCTGTTCATAAAGCTCCTTATTTGTGGTCCTAGAAGGTACTCTGATTTGTTTCAGTATCAATATACTTTATGATTGTATTTTTACTTAGGCAAAAATGAAAATTAATTCTTTACTTTGACAGCACTTGGGTTGAGGGATGAAGGGGCTGGACCAATTATGAAAGGAACAGAAGAAAAAGAACTAATAATAATAGCTTATAATCTGCTAGAGCTAAACATTAACATTACTGCTTGAAGAAAGACAAGTAAACTGAAACCTTTGTTGTCAAATGACCACGGACGAGTGATTTCACTTCTTCAGGCTTCATTTTCCAGTCTTACTATAAGAGAGGAATCCTGGTGTGGCATGGTGGGTTAATGCAGTAGACTGAAAAGTTGGTTTGATCCACAAGGTTGGCGGTTCAAGCTCACCAGCCGCTCCTCAGAAACCCTATACAGGGTCATTATGAGTCAGAACCGGCTTGATGGCACTTAACACCAACAACAATTATAAGAACAACTATAAGAGATTAACCAAACCAAAAGCCATTGCTGTTGAATTGATCCCAATTCATACAGATCCTAAATTATTGCGGTTAAGTGTCACTGAGTCAATTCCAACACACAGCAACACTGTACAGTGTTTCCAAAGAGTAGCTGGTGGGTTTGAACTGCTGACCTTGTGGTTCACAGTCTAGTGCTTATCCTATAGCACTATACCAGGAGTCCATAGAGAACCTACAGGACAGAACAAAACTGCCTCATGGGGTTTCCAAGAATGTAATCTATGCATAAGCAGACTCCCATGTTTTTATCCCATGGAACTGCTAGTAAATTTGAACTAGTAATCAAAAGTGTTTAGCCACAGAGCCACCAGATTATATTATATTATATTATATTATATTATATTATATTATATTATATTATATTATATTATATTAATTCTTAGAGTTAGCAAATATTTATTGAGCACTAGGTAGGTCAGAGGTTCAAGCTCACTAGCTGCTCCTTAGAAACCCTATACAGGATCACCATGGGTCGGAATTGACTCAATGGTACTTAACAAAAACAACAGGTGGCTTAGTGGGTTTATGCATTTGGCTGTTAACCACAATGTTAGCAGTTCAAACCCACCAGCCACTCCAAGGGAAAAAGATAAGGTTTTCTGCTCTTGTAAAGATTTACAGCCTCAGAAACCCTATACAGGAATCGACTCAATGGCACTTAACAACAAACAACATGCATTGAGTTTTGTACTATATGACAAACAGTTTTAATTAAAAAACTATCAATCCTTTCTTCCTTTATAGAATTTAAAGACACAAAATACATGAAATATGTAATAGATATAAGTGTGTATGAGGTGAAATAAAAAAGTATTACTACTAAAGAACAGAAAGTTTTATTAAAAATATAAAAATGTGAAGCTACTGTTTCTCAACATATCCTCCCCATCTAGGTCTATACACTTCTGAAGGTGGTATTTCAATTTCTCTAATCCTTCCCCAAAGAATTTTCACTCTGATCTATATCACATTAAAATGATCGTTTGGGCATCCTCAAGGGACTCAAATCATATTCCTTTTCAATGTTCTTTAAGTCTGGGGAACTAAAAGAAGTCTGAAGGGGCAAGATCAGGGCTGTAGAGTGGATGGGGCAAGGTTCCCAGAAAAATCCTTGTAGGACAATTCTTACTACCTTCAAAGAATGAGCAGGTGTATTGTCAAGATGGGAGATTTTCCTAAGTTCAACTTTATTGGCTTTTTCCTCACCAATGCAGTTTTCCATTTTCTTAAAAATTCTTCATAATAAACACTTATGACTGTCCAATGTCCCTCAAGAAAATCTATCAAGATTGCCTCTTTGGAATCCCAATAACAGTCTCCATAACCTTCTGAGCTAACTTTACTGCCTTGAACCTAACTCTTATAAAACACTGTTTTGATTAGAACTTGCTCTCTGAATCATACTAGTAAATTCAAGAATTCTCCCAGTCATAATTCATTCCATAAAATCATCATTAACTTTGATCTGACTTAAAAGACTGACAGAGCAGTACTTTGAGCTGCCTGATCTTTACACAACTCTCTTGGCATCCATCGAGCCTAAAGCTTACTGAGGCCAAGATGTTCGCTTAAAACGGAAATGCCAAACCATGTGAGATCCCAACTTTAGTAGCTATTGCATCAGTGATAACTATACAGTTTCTGCCACCAATTTCTGCACTGCTTGAATGAAACTCAGTTTCATTTACTGAGAGTGATAATCTTCCCTCTCTTGGCTACCTTTGAGATCTTTTAAAATGTTTGATCCATCTGAAAACTTGTTTTATGTGGGGAGCATTCCTGTAAATTTGCTGCAAAGTTTCAATGATTTGGGAATATATCCACTTGCGTTTTGTTAAAAAGATTTTACTATTAATTAGCTATGATTGTGGCACTGTAGGATCAGTACTGGGCTTTAAACCACACGGTAGGTCGTTCAAACCCATCAGTTGGTCCTCAGAAATTTTATATAGGAACTGACTCGAAGGCACTTAGCAACAATGATCTCAAAATTGTTTTTTCCATGGCACAGAAAATATACTTTTTTTTTTTAGGCACCCTAAGGAGACTAAGAAAGCTATATTGCTGAAAGAACGTGTCTGCAGTCATCCACTGAATGCAGAGAGAAACTTAAACATGTTTTGCTTGGAATAAACCTACATGTGTATTATGAAGCCTAGTAGCAATATTTTTTGACTTATCCATATCCATGTTAAATGGCAGGAAAGGGACAAGGTACATTGACAGGGGTGGTGATTTTTAAATGGGGTGATTAGAAAAGTTGAAGATGTCTAAGTTCACTTTCAGTTCAAAAATTCAATGTTGACTAGACAGCATTTAAAAAAAAAAAAAATGAACCTCTGAACCTGACCTCTTTAAACTCATACATTCTATCACCTTGCTCTGTGTGTCACTACTTATATTAAAAAAAAAAAAAAAGTACAGATTAAACATACATTGTTTTTGTACTGAGACAAAGCATATGCTGTCATTTAATGAAATAAGTAATTTCCCAGTCTTGCTGTGGGAGAGGAAAACAAGAAAAATAAAACCTAGCAATTTCTCCCCAGACAAAAGTACTCTAAATGTGGCATTTTTGCACAGTACAGAATAGAATTAGCATTAGCTGTCTTTTCTCCCCCTCCAAAATATTTATTGTCTGGAATTTGGTACTTTACTAGGCCCTAGGTCAAAACAAAAGGCGGTCTAGAAGCTTCGCCACAATGGAAGCTTTTCCAAGGGCAAGGAGAGGCCTATGTTAGGGCTACAGTTCCTGTAGCTATCATGTTTTATATGTCTGCTAAGTGCCAGGTACGGGGCTCATCACTGCCATTGGCAGGTCAAAAGTAACAGTTTTATTTGATTCAAACCATTATCATCCACTAATTTCAAATTCCATGTCGGAGACACATGTGGATTAATTGGAATGGGCTTTTCTATAGTTCTTCTGCTATATTATGTTAGGCAAATTTTCAAAGTAACAAAGCGCTTTTGTTTGGGGATGTAAACAACCCTTGGCCAAGCTGATCGTACTGAGAATGACAGCTGGAAGATAGTGCTTATCTGGTGATAATGAGTTTGTGCAACGAACACTTTTTTAAATTTTTTTATAAGAATTTAATTTGAGGATTTAAATTTTATGTCAACATTATCCTCAGCACAAATTTTATTCAAAGCTATCCCAAGCTATGCAGCTTCATTTGAGCAAAGCTCATTTTACTAGTTATACTCACTATTCTACTTTCAAAGGCAAAATTTCCTCTCTAAAATCAACAGTTTTTTTTCTCTACTAAGAAGAGAATAAAGCAACCCCAAAGTTTATTATATCTTATCCACTTGAGTTGGGGTTACTATTTCTCTGAAAATGCCTAATTAAAGAGTCTTTCCCTAAAAAGAACACTGTTCATAAACTAGCCTATTAAGTTCAGTCCAAACAATTTTAAATTTCACCTTTTAAAAGTAGATTAGTCCTTATAGTTTATTTTTCCTTCTTTGGGCAGCTATTTTTCATTCACTATACAGTTCATGTTTAGAGTTCACATTTATAAGACATTAATAAAGCAGCCTGTTAATTATCTTCTAAGTAATTGTATGTAATCTAAAGTTTCATCTAGCAGAATAAGGAAGGCACTTTGAATGTGACATTACTTAATGATGACAAAATTTATTTCTAACATTTAAATGGCAACAGAAGTCTCAGTGAAACACTATTAAGAAAAAAAAATTAATCCAGTAAGCACATGATGATCTCTTTAGAAATCAAGGTTTAAACAGGTAAATGTTTAAAGAATTAAAAAAAATTTCGAACGTACCAGCTCATTGCTTGTAGATGTGAATCTTAGCTTTTCTTCAATTTCCTTCCCAATTTTCTGAACAGTTACCTGAGTCTGTTTAATTGCACACTGGGCTCTATGAAGCCTAGAAATGAAAATTGTTGAAAAATTTGAGTTAAATTCCCAGTGTAAGGTAACAGATATAAGTGGTACAAAATTAGGACAAACTTTACAGAATAAATAGAATTAACAATGAAAAACTGATTTTTTTTTTCAATTTTCTAGTGTATTTACAATGAAGTTAACAGGAATTACAATATGTTCTGGGAGCATGAGGGCTCTGTAGGATAAGCCCGGGACTACAGACACACAAGGTTGAGAGAAAGATGAGTCTTTCTGCTCCCACCAAAATGTACAGCCTTGGAAACCCTATACAGGGTCCCTATGAGTTGGAACCATCTCAACGGCACTTAACAACAGCAACACTATATCCTAAATGCAACCTTTTTATACTTGCCCTGCCTACCTCTGATGTATTAAGAGCTAAAATAAAGAACTCAAGGAAAATTAGACGAGATCTCAAAAATAATCTGGTTGAATTTCATAATTTTACAGATATGGAAATAGAGCCAGAAAAATCGAGTGGATTACGAAGGAGTCACCCAGAGCGTTACTGCTATGAAGGCTGGATATTATTTCTGGGCATCCATAAAGAAAAATGAATTCACAATAATTTCAGTTTAGAACATACTGAAACATCTCAGGAAAAAAAAATGTTACAAAAGACGAAGAAGAGAAGCATATAATTTCTGGTGTTGGTGTGCCGTTGAGTCGGTTCTGACTCATAACAACCCTGTATAGGGTTTCTGAGACTGTAAATCTTTACAGGTGGAGAAAGTCTCACCTTTCTCCCTAAGAGAAAGTTCTGGACCAGGATTTATTCTCAGTGAGGATTATTTAAGGAACACTGAAAAAAATAAGACCTATTTTTAATTTGTTCCTTTGTTGTTGTTGTTAGGTGCAGCCTCAGCAATCCTGTATAGGATTTCTGAGGCTGTAAATCTCTGTAGGTACAGAAAGCCTCATCTTTCTCTTGCAGAGCAGTGGGTAGATTCAAATCACCAACCTTGTGGATAGCAGTTTAGTGCTTATCCTACAGAGCCCACAGCACTCTGTTTTAAAATATGATTCATACTTCTGGCATACAGTTACATATAAAAGTGATAAAGCTGGGATTTCCAGCAAGGTGTTGACTACTCAGCAGACACACTATGTGAACCCTCTACAATAAGAATATGAGAGACCAAATGAAATAGAAGCCGAGTAAAGCCGGGAACCCTGAACTTCAGAGGAAAGTTTAGAGTGCTTGTGGGTGGACCAGGTGCAATTAAGTTGAACTTTTGTGAGCAGCTTTGGTGACAGAAGGTGGCCTGGCAGAGCAGATTCACACAGGTAATGGGAAAGGTATGATTCCTTCTTTTTTCCCATGCTCCCCTGGTGAACAGAGGTGTGGCCAACTCCTACCCTCATCCACCCACAACACAACTGGAGCCTCAAGGTTAGAGCATGAGATGGGCCAACTGCATCACTTTGATGCCTGGATTCAGGCATTGGCCCCAGACCTACAGAATCCATAGAGCCACCAGACCAGCATTAAGTCTAGCAGAAACCCTCATAGCCAGAAACCCTGTGCCAGCTGCCCTGTGGGCCTAACAAGACACTGGCACCGGCTTTATCAAAGGCCTTCACAAACTACTTCTGGATTGAATGCCTTGAAACATATATAACTCCTAGGCCTATAGGAACTCCATCTAGTGCCAGGAAATCCACTGTTATATCCCTGCAGTACACACCTCATGAGCTCCTTGGCTAACAGGAGTTCCCCAGAGTTTTCTCCTATCCAGGTCTAACAGCTATACCGGTTCTTTTGTTTTTATTAGTTTTATTCTTTCTTCTCCTTCAATTCCCTTGAATTTTATCCTTTCTATCTCTGCTTTTGTTTTTCTTCTATTCTGTTTCTCATTTCTCCTCTTCTTTCTTTTGATCTTTCTTTACTACTCTTTAATCTCCTTCTCTTTTCATCTTCCTTCTCCCTGTTTTTTCTAAGTGTTTTGTTGTTGTTGTTTAAACTTCTTCCTTTGATTTTTTTTCTCTTCTATAGTTCCATTTCCCTGTTCCTCTTTTCTCTCTTTAGTTATCATATTCTTTTTTTCTGGTTGCTTTTTCTTTTTATTTCTTTTTCTCCTTTATTGTTGGTTGCTTGTTTGTTTATTCTGCTTTTTTTGTGTGTTTGCATGTATGTATATATCAATGTGATAATATATGTGTTGGGGGTGGGTTCTTCTTTTTCCCACTCAACAGGAGACAGCTATTCATGCCCATACAGTCCAGTCTCTGTAGCGCCACCCAGTTAATACCAGCTCCTATACACCTGATCAATGATAGACAGCAGTCAGTACCAGCCAAACCCATCCTAAATTGAGGTGCTTGAATGGTGAGTGGAGAACAGTGCACACTATTCTGTTCTCTAACCCCAGTCACAGAAGACAGTTAGTGAGAGCCTAAGAACCTATCAACATATAATCATCAACTAAATACAAATACAGAACATCACCACAATGTCCCAGAGACAAATGGCAATTTTAGTGCACATGAAGAAAAAAGAGAATGGCTCACACAAATAAATGACCAAGATGCAGAGTCAGAAAACATGTCTGAGGAACAAAAGGTGAGGGAACTCACTGCAAAAGAATTCAAAAGAATGATACCTAGGTACCTTCAAAGGATTGACAGAAAAATTGAGGAAAGCAAGAACATAGGAAAAATTTTAGAAGAATTCAGGAATATGCTCTAAGAACAAACAGACAAAATGAATGCAAATTTTGAAACAATACAAAGGCTGCAAACAGAAACCCAAAAGATTAATACTAAGATTGCAGAAATGGGTAATATATTGAAAGGGCAAAGGAGTCGATCTGCAGCAATGGGAGCCTGAATTACTGAGCTTGAAGATGAATCTCTCAACACTAGTATGCTAGAAGAACAATCAGGAAAAAGAATGAAAAATCTGAAGAAAGCCTAGCAGTTATGTGGAACACCATGAAGAGAAATAACTTAAAGGTGATCAGAATTCCAGAACAGGAAGAGACAATAAAAATCACAGAGAAAATGATCAAGGAGTTAATGGAAGAAAACTTCCCTAGCATCATGAAAGATGAAAAACTAAGCATAAAAGAAGCTTAACAAACACCAATCAGGATATATCCCAAAAGAAAACGACCAAGACATATCATAATCAAACTTTCAAACCCGAAAACAAGGAAAGAATCCTGAGAGAAGCTCTGGAAAAACAAAAATTTACCTACAAAGGTGAACCAATAAAATGAAGCTTTGACTTCTTAGCAGAAACCATAATAGGGTGATACAAATAAAACTCTGAAAGAAATAAAATTGCCACCCAAGAATCACATATGCTTCATCTACTACATTGATAGTACTGTCTACTAATGATGGAGCATAAAAGCATAGTTCCCACGTGTTTTTCAACATCAATAGATTAACTGAAATATTAATGCGATAATTTTCTATATTTTCACATTTACAGCTTCAAAACAACAAGAACTTCAAAATAGTTTATTTAAAAGACAAGTTACACACATTAATGACTATTCATTCAAGGCGAGTCATGGTGAAGTGCTGTCAGATAAATACTGAACTGCTAACCACGAAGTTCACGGTTCAAACCCTCCAGCCATTCCTTAGAAACCCTATATAAGGTTCCTAGGAGTCGGAACAGACTTAACAGCACTTAGCAACGACAACAGCATTAAAGTAGAAAAACAAGCACACTTGTTTAATTTTAAATGTTATCAAAATTCTAGTAATGATAGACATTATCAACCTAGAGGAGAAATCAAGAAAACAGCCTGTTTCTTTAAAAGGGGGGAAACACACTGTCTAAAACTCTATGGTACTATGCAAACAACCTTGTCAAATGGTAAAGACTTTAAAAATAAAAATGATTCATGACTATAATTAATGTATGACTTCAACTATTTGGCTCTCACTGCCCCAGACGCTTTCTGATCTTACCTTAGGGGCTTAAAACACACAGACAGAGTCACATTTCCTCCAATCTTCAGTGTTATCCAAATAGACTTTCAGAGGCCTTGCTACATCAAGACAGAGCTAATAACATTCCCCTTTCAAGCCCAACAGGAAAATAAAAGTTTGAAGTTTTTAGGCTTTTAAAAATAATGCGGAACATCCTGATTCCCCTGGGGGTGAAAAGGTGAAAGAGTGACAAGAAAAGAAACAACTGCTTTACCTCCAAACCTTCAGAGGAAGGGTTCTTCATTTTGCAAACTAGAAAAGGATTCTATAAAGAAAAAAATATGCAGCAACTAGACATATTGGTGATCAGGCAACATGGACACTGACACTCTCAAGCTCAAATCAGACTCTATCATCACTAGTATTGGAGAGGAAGCAACAAGTAGCTATCTGACTAATACGCTGGTTATAGTGAAGAGATGCATCCCTATGATTTAACAGTAACACTGAAAGGAGGTTATACCCTCACTGTAGCAAAAAGATCTGATCAACGTCCAACCACATTAGTACTTTGCATGATGGAAGGCAGAAGCTCAAGTTGTACTGAAGGCATTGGTGAAAAGGTTATGACAGAAGACATATGGAGATGTTCCATCAAACTGATGCAGCGTTGGAAAAGATCCCTTGTTTATGCCAAGAAATTTGGAACATACCTGCCTGGCCAACTGACTACAAGAGATCCGAACCTGTGCACATTCCAAAGAAAAGTGATCCAACAGAATGTAGAAATTATTGAACAATATCATTAATATCACACATAAGTAAAATTTTACTGAAGATATGAGAAAGTAGTTGCAGCAGTGCATCAATAGGAAACTGCCAGAAATTCAAGGTGGATACAGAAGAAGATACAGAACAAGAGCTATCACAGCTGGTATCACATGGATCTTAACTGAAAGCAGAGAATACCAGGAAGATGTTTTCCTGTGTTCTACTGACTATGCAAAGGTATTCAACTATGGGGATCATAAAAATTTAGGGATAGAAGACTCTAGACTCATGGAATGAGAAAGGCTGTGTGTTGGCTGCCAG